GCTTGCATTCAACAAAAATTTTATTAAGTTACAATTGTCTTCATAATATTATTTGGCAAATACTGAAACTCGGTCGTACGAACCTGACTCATCCGGATGAGCTCTTGAAAATTGTTCGAAGTAGAGACATGAATGATCGCTTTATTCAGGGACTGAGGTTAGGTCTATACTGGAGATCGCCTAAGCCTTACTCCAGGCCTAGGCTGAGGCTTACCATGAACTTAGGCTGAGGTGTATTCTACACTGCTGACTGCTTCGAGTAGCCTTTGAAAACTCGTCCGTATGAGTTGGACTCGTGCGGTCGAACTCTAGCAGTCGCCTATTATTCGATGTTACGAAAAACGGGGTTCACTAATTTGAATAAAAAACCACAACTAATTGCGTTTTTGAATCTGCATAAAATAATTCAATTGATGGCATCCAACCGAAATTTCAGTTCGGCTGGAATCCGAGCGAATCGAGTTTTCAGTATTCCGACAATGATATTGACATCAATCAGTTTCCAGTGCGCAGTCTATTCCGTCAAAGTCATTTATCGTCACCAAAACTGTTCAATAATTATTTCCTTNTTCACCGTTCGACTTCTGTACAAGTTCATGGTCCAGAGGCTTTCATGTTATTTTCCGCATATGTTTTGCATAATGTTGCAAAATAATGGGAAAGAAATATAGTTATTAAGTGGAAATATACTCTTTACTGTTTGGTAGAATTTTTGTAAATTTAGCGATCGATGAGTTTCTCAAGACGAGATTTTAACGAAGTCAAAGGCCTGATGAGGTAAAGGTAAAACAAAGATGATAGCATTGTTTAATAATTCGTAAATATTTAAACTGCTTTTGTATACTGAGTTGAATAGGATAGATCTGCCCGTAGTAAAACCCCTTTTTATAATTCTCTGAAAATTGAACTTTAACGTATATGTAGTTGGTACCTTGCATATTCAGTGTGAGATTCCTAGCCCAGAGATCCATTGTCTTTGTTTCGTTGCAATTAGTTACCACCTGTCACAATTCACTCACTCGCTTTTGATTATGCGATTCACCGAACCTGGCAGACCCCCTTGAGACCGGACCTGACAGACCCCTTATCGCTACATATCGAACACAAAGCAAAAATCACGCAGTAGTGATTAAGAACTCATGTAGATTTTACAATTACTTGCTTGCGAAACTTATCTCTGACTGGTTCGTCGTATTACGCTTTGCAGTGCATGGCCACCCGGAAGCCTGATGATTTTTTGGTTCATTGTTATTCTTAGCGATACTTTGACATTTACAAGCATCAGCATGTGTTGAAATTTCATTAAAAATCCTCCTTTTATGAATACATAGTTAAATAATGAGACCGGATCTGACAGACCGTCTTTGTCTCGGATGCTACAAAAAAATTCAGTCGTGCGATGGTTAAAACACATCAAAAGTTATTATTAATCGATACATTTATATTCCAGAATAGTGTTGTACACGAATCATAAACGATGAACAATTCAGGTGGAAGAGCGAAATTTAATGTGATTTCATCCAGATTAGTCGATGAATGACTTGTTTTGTTGTTTATTTCTCTTTTTCACAGCATATTCTTCCACTTCTCATGCTCATATCGATCTACTTGTTCACTCTGAAATTAGTATTTTGTTTCGTATCAAGCATATACTACAGAAGAGTTTCTCAACCAGGGATCTTCGCATCCCTTGAGGGCGCGAGATAATATGTTAGAGGTGCGAAACAACATTTCATTTTTCGTATATTAAAGTGGGCGAGGGCTGATTTCAACGCATATATGTGTATAAAGAAAGCGAGGGTGGACTTACTTTAAGGTATGATTTTTAAAAAGGCTAGAACGTATTTCAATGGTATACAATTATCTACACTACAGAAACTCACTGTAGGGGATGAGAGGTACGGAGTGGATGTTGTGAGGGGTGTGAGGATATTTTAAAATTTTTGAGGGGTGCGAGTGAGAAAAAAGAACCATTCCATAGCTAGATATGTAATCGTACACTCAAAGCATAAATATTTCAAGGGTAACTCGAACAAAATGTATAATATCGCAAATTTAAAGCACAACAGAAAACCTTTCTCATGAACAACACAAAATGCTATGAGAAAATGGATTTTCTCAAGTGCGTTATAGAAGAAGATGAATAAGATCGATCTCAGAAACATCGGGCAATCCAGCTGAAGTAAAGTGAAATCAAAGTGACGTGAGTAGAATCAAAGCTAAATCAAGTAATTATTGTTTGTTGAGACTATTACTAGATTGTTGAAGATATCATATTCTGAAATTTTATACGGAGATAATTTCTTGAAACTGTTATTGAAATATTATGACTGAAATAGGGTTTATGCTGACAATAAGGCGGTAAACTGATAATTTGAGATTGTATTTTATATTGATATTGATAACAAAATCATGTATCTTTTGCTGCGTAGTCCCTCACTAATATTTACAGATAGCAGCATATTTAATATCTTATGTTAAATTTGAATCAAAAAAAATTCTTCGAATTAAAAACATTGAATATTTTGTTCGGATTATGTTTCAAATTCTATTTTTTTCGATTTATTCTATCTGATGTTTTCAGAACGAGATTATCTACTAGGTTAAAATTCAATAATCGAACTTGCAGTTATACGCGGAATTACATAGCTATAAATATTCTGCAACAACGTCAATGACCATTTGAACGTTAGATTTACAAAAAATGTTACACGTATTCTCATTTTGCTTTCGTTAGTCACCTACCTAGTTTGCAATTGTTCACTTGTTCCGTTTTAAATCAATTTTTCGACGATCATTCTCTTGTTAGGTTTAATTTGACATTTACGGTTGTTTATAAATATGATGTACTTTAATACTGAATCAAGTTAAGATCGAACCAACCAGTTCATTGATAAGTTTCTCTTTGGCCATTAACTTATCTCTGAGAACAGCTACCGCAGCACCTTCATGCTTTTCCTTTCTATGACTCTTTTCTCTTTCCACTAAACTTTCGTAATCAATGCGAAGATTTTGGTATTCTTTTTCTAATGAATTCAAACGTTCCATCGCTTCTTCGTAACGAAGTTCAGTCTAAAAAAATGTTGTAAATGAATCATTTATCAATTCAATTGGTATGGCAAAGGTTTGTTTGCGAATAGCATCGGTTTAGTAGGGTTTGGAATTAATTGCAAGGCACCAAAATGAGTAGAGATTAAATATTAAATGATAAAGGAATTACTAGTCTAAGCTTTTTCTGTAGAGAACGCCTTTCATCGTTACGATTGTTCGTTTCTGCTAGAATGGCTGCTGCTATGTTTTCTTCATATTTTACTTTTTCATCATTCACAAGTATTTCTGCGTTTTGTTGTTTAAACGATAACTTTTCCATCTTCTCGAGTTTTTCATTTAAACTCAAATTTTCCTTTAAACATTAATGATTACAACTGGCATTGAATGCTGAAATATTAAACTTGCAGCCATAAATACATAACGAAATGGATGCTTGGAAAAGGTTTTCAGCAATACAATACTCATTGCTGAAATGCTTGTTACTTGCGTAGATTTTCAATTACATCGATTCAGTTGACGTGTTCTCACTATATGTGTGAATGATACAAATGACTTTCGATAAATACATGAAATTCGTTCACAAAAATACCTCTTCAACTGAATAAAGGACGTTTTCAAATTTGAAATCAGTGTGAATAAGAATAAAATTCTGTAAAGTAGTAAATGGTGGAATAAATCGAATAACCTTTTTGAATATATCGATTTGTCGATGAAGAGCTTCAAGAGTCTGTTGAGTAGTGATCAGCTTGATATTGAGTTGATCACGTTCACCTGATATCGACTCATGTTGTCGTTTCAGTTCTTCATTCATTAGACAAATACGTTCTTGATCAGCCATTCGAATTTTCTCGTCACGTTCCATTTGAGTAATACGTTTTTCACGTCTCAACAATTTCACTTCTAATTCATTCAAACGTTCTTCAGTTTCAATCAACCTTCTTCGAAGCACGTTTGCATTATTTTCGCGTAGTTTCCTTTCACGCCATCGTGTCAATTCATCCTTTAATTTGAATGAAAATACTCTCTTAAAATAATTACCAGTGGAATTAACTCTTTACCGTTAACTACTAAAAACATTATATTCGAAAAAAAGCGAACTGTTGAAATATGAACTCACTCACCTTAGTTGTTTTCAATTCACCTTTCTTCTGCTCACTTTGAAACATTTCAATAGTCTCCTTCTGTGATTTGATTGTTCTACGTTGAAGATTGATTTCAGATTTAAGCTTCTGAATTTCTTTTCTCAAACTGCAAATAAGTGATTGCAAGATGCTGAGTGCAAATTATTCGGCTTACGAAAGATGCACATAATGTCTAGAAATTATCTGAATTATGCTGATAGAAAATTCAGAATAAGCACACAAAGCCAAAACTGGTCATCTTCTTACTGTGTGGATTCTAAATCAACACTTTCTTGGTCGATTTTCGTATATTTTTGGCCAATTTGTGTTAATGCCTCCAAACGAATATTTTCACACGCCTTCTGCAGTTCCTGAAAACGTTAATTAGTTTTATTGATAGTCTATTAACAGGCTCGCTCATATGATCGTAAAGACAAAAAAAACAACCACGAAATACATCTTGATCAAGTGAATGATTACGAAAGATTTTCGAGAGAACCCGTGAATTATTTATTTAAACAACTCGATTATTTGAAAGAAATTACTCAGCAACTTAAGCATATTCAATGAATGCACACTTTGAAAACGAATATCTCACTTGATTTTCGGCATTTGCCACGTTCAGTCTCTGTTTGAGTCGTCGAATTTCATTGCTGAGACTAACGCATTTGGATTGCTCTTGTCTGATTGATTCGTTGAATTGTTGGACCATTCTGATTCGATCTTCAGAGTCAACTTTTTCGGGATTGCTTGGACTTATCATTATGCACCGTTCATTCCTTGTTTCCCTATCGTATTCATCGTTTGATTGCAAAATGTCTTTTGGTAAAGAACTCGAATCGTGAAGTTCTGCACATGCTTCTTTATCTCTTCCGTCTACCTGACTAATGCCAAAAAGATGATCCTCATTTTGCATACTGTTTTCATTATTCAAACGCTCGTCGAAACTCGTTTGCACAAACGCTTCATGACGTTCCACTCGTTTGCATCCACCTATTTTTTGTTGCTCCTGAACTTGCTCACCAAGACGATAATTTGCATCTTCCAAGTCTTTTATTTCAGTTTTTAGTTTCACAATTTCACGCTTCTTCTCTTCTAATTCTTTGCCATTTAGCAGTTCCTCTGATTTTTTCCATCTTCTTTGTTTCACCAATTCATCTGTACGATTTTCTGTGTGTCTCTCGGTAGCATCACGGTCATTTTGCAAATTTTCTAATAACGCCTTGTATTTTTTAATCGCCTCCTCTTTGTAATCCAACTGATCCTAAAAAGAGACACTTCTTCTGAAAATCTTTTCAAACGAAAATATGAATAATAATCGAGAGCAAGACATGAAAGACGAAAATAAGCCACATAGATATGAAGTGCATTCGAACAAATGCACAAATACGTTACCTTATAATTCTGAATGCAAACTTCAGCGGTTTCTCGAATATATCGAATTTTTTTCTCGTATTCATTCGAGTTATCGAAAACGATCGTCTTGGTTCGTATGTCGTTGTTCGTGAAGCTCGCAAGCGAATCTGCACCTAATACCACACTTTCCTCTGAATCCTCTGACACATATCTACTATCCAACCAACGTCCGCCTGTACCATGTTCTTCCATTTCGATCGTCATCACTGTAATAGTGTTGCATACATGAAAGTTTACATCAAATTATATTAACTCTATTTTACATCGGTCTGCCGAAACTATATAGCTGTCACAAAATTACAGTACCACAAAACCACCCAATCAAAAGTGATGATCAGTGACTGATGAAAATAAGATCAAAGTTGATTTCTGGTCTTAGTTGCAAGGCAATTGAAATTTGTTGATAAGATTAGTATTGAAGTTAATGTAAATAGTACGTGGTACAGAAGAACGATCTGCTTTCATCTCATCTTTTTGGGTTTCGTGATCGTTTATTTGTTTACTTCCACTTCGCTTATCATCTAATTCTTCGGTTAGCAAATTTTCCATACGCAAATTTTCACTCATCCAATCACAGATTTGCTTCTTCAACTCGCTGATTTCTTCTTTTTGCGAAGCAATTTGAGTGTCTTTTTTCTCAACCTTAAAATACACATTTCATTCACAGAAATGTGCATCATTCATTTCAAATGAGTTTAACTGCAAAAAGTTAACTATGCAACGACAAATATAAAGCATTCTATCCATTATGAAATTAACCTGTGACTTCAACATGTCCATTTGGCTGGTAACATTGAGTAAATTCAAATGAGTGACTTGGATGGTCTTTTGAAGTTTAATTAAGTCATAGTTATCCTCTTTTAATGCGTCGAAGCTTCGTTGCAGTGCTTCTGCCTTCATCAACTGCAAAGAGGCCTCTTGTTTGCGCTTGGATGCCTGTAAGACGGATGATATTGTTGCGTGCATGAGAAGTGACTTTTGAATGCGATGTGTACGTGTACAGCATATCAAATGAAAACTCTCACTGGCATTATAATTTGACGAAAGTGTCGAACTAAGGGAATTTTATTTCGAACAGCTTTCAATGTGAAATAAATCGGAGAACGTTGCAAATCAGTCAGTCACCTCTTCCAGTTCTTGTTCGCTCTTGAGCTGATTCTCATGAACAGTTTTGATTCGGTCCTTAAGCTCCATCACTTGCTCCACTGTCATCATCTCCATTGCATTTCTTCGAATCTTCTGGACCGAAAGCAAACAAAAATAATCGTAAAGTTGAAATGTGATCCAACTGAATAGTCTCAAGCGAACAAAAACCGCTGGAGACAAGTGAGGGTAACCATAAAAAGTATCATTTACCTGCACATTACTCTGCATAAATTGAATTATTTCGATTAATTTCTTGCGTTCAGCAGCCCATTCACGCCGTTTTTTAGCGAGTTCGTTTTGAAACTGGCGAGCTTGACTGGATGCCAACAGCTCTTCTGGTTCACGTTCCGATCTCTCGGCAATGAAACTGACAAAACGTCGTTCAATGGCGACGATCATCGCTTTCACGTTCGATTCAGATTCAATATCTTCAAGAAACGCTTTCAGTTCATCGTTTTCAGATCGGACTTTCTCATTTTCCATTTGCCAGTAATCTATTTGATGCGATAAAGCAGCGATCATATTCTGAAATTCACTGACACTATTGGAGAGTCGCATCATTTGCAACTAAAATTCATTCGTATGCCACTAAGATTCATCCATACGAAAACTCATTCAGAATCTTTAGCCAACCATTTGAATGGAACGATATTCCACTGGTAAATGTTTACTTTTTTGTCGTTTTAATATCATAACTCGAAAATCTTTATTACTTAAAGATTTCACCTTGAAATACTCATTCCTGGCAGCCACCTCTGCATCGATACTATGATTGTCACATTTTCGCAATAACTGAATACCAAAATGTTCGTTTTGTTCTGTCTAAAATTTTCAATTCATCTGTGCATAGTCTATAAATGTACATTAAAACAATAACTCATCAATGAGTTTGCTGACAGAACAAATTTCTGATAATGATCAATGCAAACACTGCAGCTGATAGCAAACATAGAGATTAAATTTTGAAATGACAAAAGGATTTCGGTGTGATAACAGCTAATTGAGAATTCTAGCCATTCTTTCTTGTCAGGGATTTATTCAAAATATTATGAATAACTATTAATTTAGAGGAATGCTTCTTTCATCAATAAACTGTTCTCATAGAGAAAACGATCAAATTGATTTCTTCGAAACTTTCATTCGGGATCACGTTTGACGACAATCATTTCTAATTTTCGTCGACCAGTTTTCATCATTTTAAGATGATAACATAGCTGTTCATCGTGAGATATACCTCGTCAGCATTACTTGTGAAGAAAAATTCTTGGTGGAGCGCCATTTTATATTTTTTGGTTAACTTCTGATATTCAACTTCAGGTACTGAATGCAATAAAATGTCCTGAAGTCGAGCCATTTCAATAGCCATCAGATCCTGAAACAAACAACTTCCAAATAGGAATAACATATCTTTTACGAACTGCACTTAAGCCAAAAAAAAAAACTATCTGCATGCACTAAAATGTAGTGTCTCGTATACTTCCCTCACAGTCAAAGAAATGCAACAATGATGATGAACTGAGTCGATCGCCATTCACTACTTTCGCTCGATAACGAACAGAGATGATATGCGATAATCATACTTGAATCATCCTTCTTTTTTCAGTAAACAACAAACCGCTTCATAATTAGCCAGTTTCATCTGACGACTATGTAAGGAAATATTTTCGTTGAGTCTGCGTCGTAATTTCGCACACTGTTCACGAGCTTCGTTTCGGGATCTCTCCAATACTTGTATTTTTCTAAAACTTCGAGCGCTTTGGATTCGTTCGACGATTAAACGTCGACTTGTCTCTTCTAAACGTCGTTGAAGCTCATCACCGTTCAATCGTACCGATTCACATATACGCTAAATTCAACATTAGCATGACTTCTGAACCAAATATGTTGCGGTGGAATCATAAAATGATAGAAGCATTTGCATGGTGATTGAATGCAGTGTTATGGAACACTAATCGACAATTCCTTGATGAGAACAAACGATGCATCGATCTTATCGCACGCTCTTAAAGCCAGGTACTTGGTTAGAAACTTGGACTGAATAATATTATTCGATAAGAAGATAATACCTTGTACTCTTTTAACTGAATTTCATACTCCTCAATCATCACGTTTTCTTGAATGTGATCCTTATTGTTTCGTTTATCAGTTAAAGCAGCTGCTTCTTTTTGCAAGATTATATAATTTGCTTTTATTTTGTTAACTTCCGGAACTCCATCCAACAGCAGTTTTGATATTTGCTCATGTTGTTTCACTCGTTCATCAACTTCCTGAATGTCAGCTATCATTTCAGTGTTCGAATTTGAATCTTAACCAATAATCGAAAAGAGGAATAAAACGTAAAAATGTATTCACTGAAAATATGACATTGATTAGGCACTCAAGGAAATACAACATCAATAGAACTAAATATCGTGAATACGAGAAGAAATAGGCCAGCCGTCGAACCTGCATGAGAAGCATTATTTCGCAGTTGAGTGAAGAGATTAGTACCGCACTGGCTTCCCAACTGTTCAATGCTTTAGCACTGAGATCGTTTGCAGTAACCTGTGGAATAATGTGGTTACTTTATCGAATAAAACACTTTCATAATATGAAGGCTACAATTACTGACGACTCACCGAGTGATTATGCTGACTATGAACAAATGAATACTTTTATGTAAAAAGAAAATGCAATCAGTATCAACACCTCATGCTGTTGCTTATTCGATGCATTTGGATTCAACCACGAAACAGCTTCAGTTTCAATCCCTTTTTCGGTTGTTTCTTTATAAATTTTTCTATCATCTGAGTGCTCTCCACAATTCTGCAGTTCATTTTCGTGCGGTTTCACTGAAGCATCGATCACACTGTCATATTTGAAAGCAGTGCATTTGTTCTGCGGATCCATTTCAGTAAGTGACGCAAGTTCGGCTTGTAATAACGAACATTTGGCGGACATTTTTTGAATTTGTTCATCTCGAAATTTCAACTGAACCTCGAGACGAGTGATTTCGGATTCAGCACTTCCAAATCTTGCCTAAACATTAATTGATTACGCGATTTCCGAATGTAGTTCATAAGCATAATCTAATAATCAATTTTGAGTGGGCAGTTTTCTTAATTTTATGTTTTCAAAAGGAGCTGAAATCTCAACGTTCAGACGACGTTCACCCATGATCATCGATTTTTACGAACTTCAGTTTTAATCAGTAATAAATTTTGCTAAAATTCATCGAGTTGCACACAGTTACTCAATCAAACGTTAACTGTTAAAGACCAACCTCCCGTATATGCTTCATTTCTGCATTGATTTTCATATTTTCAGTATCTTTTACTTCAATATTCTTCACTAATTCTTCGCGTTGTTTTGACTCTTCTCGCAATCGTTCATTTAAACTTTCCACTTCCTGAATGAATTAACCACGTAACTCTTTCAAAAATTAACGACTTTGATTGCATATCACAAAATGATTCGCTCATCAAGCAACAATAACATTCACAAAACTCTCCAGCCAAAAGAACATCAAATCTTAACCGAAGTCATTTGAAGGCAATGAAAAAACAATGACCTTGCTCAATTCTAAAACCTTGAGTCTTAGTTGTGCGTTTTGATGATGATCTTCTGAGCTGTCACTTTTACCGAATAGTTCACGCACCAAATTGGTTGCACTCACCAACTCATTGCGTAAACGTTCTAATTCATGTTCACGTTCTTCAGTTCGATCGAGTCGACTTCTAGCATATGCTTCTTCTAGATCTAGCTTAAAGATCACATCTTATTTTCAAATAAGAACAGAGATAAAATGAAAATGATGAAGATGATGTCTTCGACCTGCATCAAAATTATTCAGAAGTCTTGAAAACGATTAATTTCGACTTGATGCTTCAGCCTGAATTGAAATGAGCACGTTCAAAGCTGAGATAAAATGAAAAAATCTTGATAAAATGTGCAAAAGAGAGAACCAACCTGGAGCAGTTGAATACTCTCACGAAATTTCTCAAGCTGTGAATCTTTCTTTTTCATGATTGTCTGCAAGTTAGCTTGAAGGAACCATGAAATTATCAACAAGAAATTGAAATCATCTTCAGAATACGACTGAGAATGTATATGTCATTACTATGAATGAATCATTATTCAATGATCGCTATAAATAAATCACATATCATACAAAATATTATTTTCTTAAAGGAATAAATCATTTTGTCGTTGGATCGATTCCCAATGCTTTCAAATGTAGGCAAGAAAACTTGCACTTGATCAATCAGATACAGACAAATTCAAAATTCACTTCAAAACGTCTCTCAGACTCCAATTCGTTACTTTCCAGTTTTTCCAATGTCTCTTTCCCTTCCTCCATCTGCAAACAAACGACGCATTAAATACCGAACAACCTGTGAAGAGCATTATATCATAAGAATGATAAATGAAGGCTGTTGACCTGTTTCACGAGACGATTGTTTTCATTCGATAAACGCTCAATAATTGCTTCACTGTTCAGCAGTTGTTCATGCATTAATGAGTACTTATTGGTTGTATCTTCGATGTACGTGCTTGCTGAAGAAAGTGCTTCTGAAAGACGTTCCACTTCGGCAGTTAGTTGATCATTTTGATGGATCACTTCCTCAAATTTTCGTATCGGTTAATCATTCGAATGAATATCTGTCGGAATAGCTAATCACTTCATCAATAATTTTTGTAATCTAATCTAATCATCTGATTCATCGTGAATTACATTCAGCTTATTCAGTCTATTCATAACGCTCCCTAAAACTTCATTCCACGTTAACTACTTTCTTTCACCGGAATATTATCCTCATCCAATCGAATAAATTCCTTTTTTTCTGTGAAACTAATTAATTCTTCATATCAAGCGACCACTCATTTCCAGAATATTCAAACTGCAATGAAGTTATTCATCGTAGCACTCAGAACTGAAACGCTTCAAACCCTTTCTTTATTTCCATTTCCTGAAATCCTGTAGCACTTCAAAATCATTTGTTGAGTTTACTTGAAGTTGAGAAGAAAGTTTGGCTGCTTGTTCACTGCGTTGTCGCAATTTACGTGCATCGGATTCATTTTTTGCACTCTGTTCGGTTTTACTACTTAAACGTCGATTCAGTTCTCGAATCGTATCATCCAAATGATTTTGCTGAAAATAAATTCACACTTCCAAAAGCTAATGCTGCAACTGACAACAAAAGCAATGTGATTAACTGCACTTTCATGGAATATATGAGTGAGGTTTATGGAGAATGGCAATCATTCATGAATGTAGAGCGTAGTTTCATTGAAGTGAACGGTTCTTATTGATGACGATCAGCGATTACGCACCATCTTATTTATAGATGACTGATAGGCATTTTCTCGAAGTCTCATGCCAACACAGTAGTTAAGTACAATGCGTGAAAAAGATGAAAATCTGAAATTTGGAGTGAAGAGCGGAAACTTTTTGAGTAAAACATTGGAAGGAGAATTTTTGCATGTTCGAAAGATTATGAAAAACGGGGCAGGTTTTGAATATGTCATTTTTCAATAGTATACAATCATTTTTTCAATATCTTACAATTTTCAATAGTATACAATCTTCAGAATTTTTCTTCCAATTAATTCCAAAAATTTTTTCCATCATTATTCTAAATCTCCAATTTGCACACTTTGCGTCCAAACGCTAGATTTGCATGAAACTTCGACGATGTGCAAATCAACCAGTTATAAATATGACAAGCTCTTACCGTTAGTGATGTATTTAGTTTGCGATCATGAAAATCAAACGCCGAAAGGTTAGCGATAATATGAAACACCTGCGTAATCACTGTTTGTCATTAATAGGAACAGTCATTTCGTTCGCTTCATCACCATACACTCTGTTCCGTATTAGTGAATTTTGGGTTCTTACTGTATTAGTTCTAAATGTAAATTTGCTGGTATGTTGAATATGGTCATTCATAATAATGTGATTATTCATGACACTTCTTTTAAAAACAATCATTCTTCTCATCTCATCTCTCAGCGATTGAATACGAGAAAAAATAAGTACTTTTTATCGACGATGATGTGTCGTTATTTGCAATATTAAGATACAGTTATTTGCAATGTCTATTGTGAAATCTGTACAATATCTCGTTCTTACCTCATATATTCGATTTCGAATGTTTATGTACTGCTACGTCTAAATAATGTCAGAACTATACATTTACATATCACATTCATTATTATTGTTACTACTGTCAAAAAACCCTCGCCTCATCTTCGGTTGTGTGCCCCCTTTTGATTGTTGTCAAAACTTGGCCTGCTCAATCTCCCTGCCTCCTTTCGTCATTATCATTATTGTTATCAACGTCGTTGTTGTTATAAATTCACTTCGTTTTCGTTCGACACACCTCATTTAACAAAGCACCACAATTATAATGTTACTTATATGAAATAGAATGTGAGCAGTGTGGCAATATTACGAATACTTCAAGGATTGATTGATATGCTAACGCAAAAGTTGGAACTCTTTTCAGGTTCGCCGTAAGATGCGTCTATTTTGATCGTGTTTTGCGACGTAGTTTTCAGTATTGCAATCAGAGCTAATGTATAAACATCGTTATTCAACAATTTCTTTCTTAGAAGAAGTTGTTGACGTTGTCTAGCCGAACAAAGTGCTGAAATTGATTTTTTGTTAAGTATTCAACTAGCGAAAGAAGTCGAACAATTAGCGTACCTGAGATGTCAGTGCATTACGTTCTTTTTCAAGTTGCTCAATTTTTGATGAAAATTCTTCTTCTTTATCACGCTGATCAGCCAACTCGCGATCACTGCATTTAAACAATCACATGAATATCAATCAAATACTGTATTGATAAGCATTGATCAATGCGATGATCGTTGTAAACCATAAAGTAAGTGTATAAATTAATTCAGTATAAACAAATTCTTTTAGCGATTGAAATCATAATTCAGCACGATATCATTGCGCTAACAATGCAATATAATCTAACAAATACCCGAACCAATACCCTAACTAATACGTATAAACACAATTTTTTGAAACTGCCATTCACATGAACGCTAATAATTTACAGGAACGAACCGTTCTCTATTTTGTACCTTTAAATAAGCGTTCTCTTCGCGAAGGCTATCGATCTGTGCACGGAATGTTTCACTCAGCTGATCATTTCCGATTGTTGACAGTAACTTTCCCCGAACATCTTCCAGTTCTTTCTCAAATAATGCAATATTTGTTCAATATGATCAAATGTACTCTTGTGTCATAGCCATCTTAAACGATAATAAGCAGCCAAAAAATCCAGAAATTTTACCGTAAGGATTTTCCCCTCGTATAAATTAAGCTTCATCGACAAGCCAAAAGTCGTCAAATGTGCACATCAAATTCACAGTTTCATCAATCGAATTGTTGATTCAAAATAATGAAAAAGATATGACATTTCCAAGTGGCTGAATCAGTTCTTAAGCAGACTAAAGTGCTCATTTGTTTTTGTTTTTTTGCATTCATAAAATGTGCTTTCGAATGGAAATGCGTTTCCGTTGCATGCCATCCAACTGATCATATGAATCAGGGCTTTTCACGCTCTTGCGTTTTATGCTCCCTAATGGCTGCATGGTGAATCGTCACTCCCCCTTCAACAATCCATCTGAGCACAAGTCCACTCCTTTAGCAATCTATTCAATCTTGGTGATAAGTCAGAAAAAAAAGGAAATTGATTCATTGACCGAGAAATTTCCTGTTAAGAAGTATTAGCAGAAGAATCACTCTGTTGTGATCAAACACGCAAAACATTTCGGACCACTTATGGAGGAACTATGAAGAAAAATCAGTCAATAATAATTTGCCATGTTCTTCAGTTCCCTCCGTCCACCTAACACCTCCCATTTCCTTTCTATGAGAATCACTTCTATAAAGAATTGATATTCAATGTATTCATTAGAATACCTTCAAATTCTCACGTTCCTGTTCCCAATTTTCCTCTTTTTCGGCTAGATCAGATGCATCCTTTTCGGCCAGCTCTTTCAGTTGTTCGGCACGAGTATGTTCAAATTGCATGACCCATTTCAGAGCACGAATCACCACTTCAAGTGCATCTCGTGATTCATTTTCATCCAGTTCATACTAAATTCATCAACATTTACTTTCCTTCTCCAGGCTCCAAACAAAGTATCAATTGATAAAAATGAACTGTAAACCATCCTCTTAGTTTGCATTGCACTAACCTCAACAAGGCGTTCATACCAATAGTGAATGCGATCGATATTGCTTGTGTCCTCATCGAATAATTCTTCGAAATTCGAACGATTCATTCACTGCAATTTTTTGCTGTATTTTCAATACATTTTAATAACAATTTCCTTTTGCTAATGAGGTAATCATCTTTCTCTTGAAAAAAAAAAACATCAAAATAAAATACATTCATCTTCATTGAGCTATTCAAGTAGACCCATAGTGGAGGAATGTGATGGAAATTTGACCAACGGGTCAGCTCTACTCAAGATTTGGTGAAAAAGATGGAACTTCCTGAATGCGATCAGTAGTTTGCTATGGAGAAATATGTATTCAGTTTTCAATTACTGCACTCACTGCAAAGATTGTTAACAATTATGGAACAGTGGCTAAGAGTACGACCGGTCAATTCTCATATGCGAACGAATCGCAAATGGATGATGACAACATGGTCAGCTTAAATGCTGTTGTCATAGCAACAATACCTCCTCGTTTGTATGATCATTTGTGGAGTGCTTCAATCACATATATCCAACCTCACTATTGCGATAAAATGTGATAGATTGCTTTCGTTTCTGCAAAGTAGTATTTTCTGTTCGTTTCCTCATAGCCGTTTATAACACTAACATACGCCAAATAGATAGATCGAGATATGTCGATCTTTCTGAAAGATTCCATTTCGGCCTATATGGCTAGATGCTCGAAAGCCAGTACCA